AAAAAAAAATGAAAAGGAAAAGAAAAGAACTTCTAAGAACAGAAGACAAAAAGCCTCCTTATTGAGAATTTTTTTTTTAAAAAGTGTGTAAATGTTATTAAAAGGTAAAGGCAAAGCGATGTTGGATTGTTCGAGATCTGGGTTGTTTTTTTAAGTTTCTTTCAAGGTAGAAAAAAGTTTCTACCCACCTAAAAGTAGTTTTACTACTAAAATCACAATCTTGGAGGAAGTGAGAAAGGAGACAGAAGAAATCTGAACAAAGCGTTAAAGGTAACAGAGAAAAAGCTCTGGCTTTTTCTAGACTCTAAGACTGAGCCAAAGCGGGAATGCTCAAATTTCAAAAGAAATCTGCAGATCAAGATGCAGTATCCACTGAGAACCCTTTTAGAAAGCATTTCCAAGACAGTCCTCAATTTTCTGACCTGCACCACCCACCAAGAAGTCCCAGAAAGCTCCCCTCTGAGGCTTCTGGTTCTGACCTGGCTCAGGTCACATTTGAGGTCCCTAGGAATGCATTTCCGGGGCTGTGAAAAAGTCTTCACACAGACCCCACCGTGGGGCTCACCAGAGAACACATAAAAGTTTCACAACTTTCCAGACAGACCAAAATCAAAGCAAATGAGACTCCCACTGGGCACCCGGGTTCTGCCAAGTCCAAAGTGACAGGCAACTGGAATGTGACTCTCCTCTCCCTGGAACCACCTGACTTTCTTTGGAGAGGAGGGTAGGTTTTGAACCCCTGGCAATTTGTTGAAAATAGACCTTAGACCACACTGGATTCCGAAAAAGGGAAAGTCCCCTATTATAGAAACGGGAAGAGAAAATGAGCCTGTTTACAAACATGTAGAGGACACTCCTTTAATCAAGCTGCAAGACTGCCCCCCTCCTACAGCAAGAGAGGCGGGGCTTCCCTGAAGACCGGCTACAGGGCCCCACCCCTGCATCCACCAGGTGGGGCGTCCACCATGCTCCCCACACCACACACAGCACCAAGGGCGGCTCTTCTGTCTTCCGACCTCCAAGGGGATGCAACAATCTTGAAAACTCCTATTCCACCATCACCACGTAGCTCAAATGTCACCTCTTCCACAGCATTCTCAAATGCACCTGCTTCCCCCACATCATGCAACTCACCATCTGTGAGCCTGAGTCTCCCCCACCACACTGTGGGCTCCAGGACAGAGAAACAGAGGGAGGAAGGAAAAAGGTTTCTAGTAAGAGCAACGGCTGGCACACAGACAGGGAAGCAGAGATGACACAAGGGGGCTCTCGCCAAGGGACACTGGAGTGATGCACTCATGCTGGGGACTGGCAGGACCTGGGCAGGATGGACAAGGTGACCATGAGCAGCCTTCAAGGGCAAGGTCAGAGTTCAACCACAAAGAAGAGAGCAGAATTCCAGGCAGATGGTGAGGGACATAAATCCCACACCACCTAGGTGACCAGAGAACCTAACAGGTCACATACCTAACAGCAGCCTGGTCCCTTAGGGAGTGGGGAGGAAACTGAAGTCATTTTCTTACTTCTGAAAAAAAAGTCCCACCCAATCTGTCAACTTCCCTGAGAGTTTTGTGGCCACTTAAACAAATATGCGAGCCAGCTTACCCACCTCTCCCTCCCTCGAAGTTGAACTCTGGGAACACGCCTGGGTCCCTCTCCTCTTCTCCCCCCTTCCTCCACTCTCCCCACAGCCAGAAGGCTGGACAGGCCACTCGCCTAATGCAGGGCGCAGGGCTCAGCCCGTGGCTGTTTTGGCTTGGGGTTCTGTTTTGCTTTGTTTTGTTCTGTATTAAACAGAGGCCCAGGATGGCATCCCACACACGAAGCAGAAGAATAAACTGTGTGTAACTCATCAGTGCGGCTGGTTAACGATGCCCCATAAATAATGCAGCAACTGCCTCTCCCAGCCCAGCCCGCTGCGACAGCAGAACCTCAGGGGACAGCTGAGCGAATCAGACACCCACGCTGCCACACAGGGAACACAGAGGAGCCGGGAGCCGTGGTCAGAGAAGGGGTGATCTGAGAGGAGCCAGAGCTGGAGAAGACTCTCACAAGGAGGAAGCATTCAGCTTAGATGAGAATAAAACAGTGATTGGAGGAGCAGGGTGCAGGCTATAGGGAGTAGGGTTCCAGCTCAAAGGCCTCTGTCCTGTCCAAAGGTTGCAGATGGAGGCTGCCTCGCCAGTGGTCATGATCCTGAGGACTCAAGTCTTGGGCACACCGCCGGACAGGCAACCCCCCCACCCAAGCCCCACTTTTCATCCTGATGACGTCAACGTCACCATCATCATCATTAAGCATCACCATTTTCTAAAGGGTTGCTTGGTGCCAGGCACACATATCAGCGTTTCTCTAACTTTCACATACATTGTTTCTACTACCTGGGGATCTTGCAAAAACGCAAGTTCTGATTCTCTTGGTGTGAGGTGGGCCTGGATGTTGCATGTTTAACCTGAGTGATGCTGAGGCTGCTGGTCCACAGACCACACAGAAGAACACAGCTGGATACACACTCTATTACATGCTCACAACAATCTGAGAAGCAGATGCTATTATTTTGCAGCTGAGGACTGACGTCATGACCCGAGTGCTACCCTGATTCTGGGAAGCGTGCTGAACAGAACCGGTTGCCCAGCCCAGGCCCAGGGCTGCAGAAAGCCACTCAGTAGGCAGGCTGGGTCCTGCCTGGTCCGCAAAGTGAGGTGCAAGGCCTTCCCCAACACACAGCTCCCAATTACAACTGCAAATGCTCCAGGGGAGCTATAATGTCACCCTAGAAATGGTCATGATCCTCAAGAACTTGGGGGGAAAAAAAAACAACACAAAGACACAAAACAAAGAAAAGCTCTTTGTGTTGGAAAAGGTCTGATAGGAATGAACCAGAAATGGTCACGGGTGCTGTCATTAGTGGTATGATGATGGATAACTTGATCACATCTTCCGGTTTTCTATGGATGCCGGGACTGATCTGCTTCTGCCAGATCAGAGAACCTGTCTGGAGCATCTCTAAAGGCTGATGCTGTCACCTCCCCAGCCACCAGGTCCTCGGGGCAGGTCTGTGGGAACCTCCTCAGAATGAGCTTGAGCAGTGCAGCCCACAGCATCCCTCCTCCTCCCCTTCTAGGTCAGCCCTTGTTGAGCTCAGCCTTCAGGGAAATGAAAAGCAAAGCTTCCAGAAGAAGCTTCTGACCTGAGCAGGAGTGCCTCTGGACCCCAGGCTTCTACAAGCAGGAGGCAGGAATCTGCAGCTTCCAGAAGTGGGTGTGAAGGATGAAGGACAGGGCCCCTGACTGTCTGTCACAGCTTTGTCCCCCAGACCACCCTTCCCCACCCCATTCTGCAAGAGGGAGGGCCCCCGAGACCCTCAGAAGAAATGCACTGTGGAAGCCCATCCATCATAAAAACCATTCCTGGGCTTTTATTCTCTGATTGGGGCTTGCCTAATCCACTAATTATCCCTGTCCATCAAGTGGATGACAGCCTTGGGGATAATCAATGGTTACTTCCTCACACGCCCACCCTCACCCACTTGCCCAAGCTCACCAACAATAAACACGCCTGTGAAAAGGAAGATTTAACCACAAAAGGGGCTTCCTCCACCCAACCTCCCCTCACAAACTTCTCCATTTGTAGCCATAACACCCTGCTTAAGTCAAGGACATCAGCGTCTTCTTCCTCCAGCGCTAGGAGGTTCCATGCCCAGAATGCCTGTTTTCTGACACACGGGTAGGTCTCCACTGGGAATAAAAGAAGAACCAAACAAATAGGTCAACTGTATCTTCAAAGTATGATTGGTTTTTTACATTTTCTACCAAGAGCCATTCCTTTGTCTATCCTGAGCCTTCCAATAGAAGAGCCACTAGCCACCTGGATGGAACTTTAAATTCATTACAGTTAAATAAAATGTAAAATTCAGCTCCTCACTCAAGTGTTCAACAGCCACATGGGGCTAGTGGCTTCGGTACTAGACAGGGCAGATGCAGAAAGGTGTGCTGGACGGTGGCAGCCATAAGGTGACAAAGCCACTCTGGGCACCCCTGGGTTGTTCTGGAACTGCAACTAGGCTTCCAGTCCTATTATTTAACTTTTGCAAAATGGATGCGTGAACCCCTCTCCTCTCCCTTCCTATTCCCCAAATTTATCCCCCCAATCTGTACCGCCATATTGCCTTTACTGTTTCAGATAGACACCTAAGGCCGCCTAGGAGTCCAAATTTATTTCATGATCATCATTAAGAACCCCATCTCACATTTACACAGTACTTGAGAGAGTATAAAGGGCTCCCAAGACAGCCCTGTGTGGGCACTTGGCAGACAGGCATTTAACACTTTTCCTTTTCCACAGGAAAATAAAGCACAGAGGTTAAGTAATCCGCCTAAGGTCAGGGAAAGGTCTGCCCTCGCACCCAGTTTGTATCGTGAAGTGCTCCTAAGTTTGCCCAGTTGTTTTTAAAAAGAGTTTTATGTTTACTTATTTTTGAGAGAGAGACAGAGCATGAGCAGGGGAGGGACAGAGAGAGGGAGACACAGAATTTGAAGCAGGCTCCAGGCCCCGAGCTGTCAGCACAGAGCCTGACATGGAGCTCAAACCCGTGAACTGTGAGATCACGACCTGAGCTGAAGTCGGACGTTCAACCAACTGAGCCACCCACGTGCCCCTGCCCAGTTCTTTTTAAAATGCCATTGTTCCAGGGGCACCGGGGGGGGGGGGGGTTCAGTCGGTTAAGCATCTAGTCAAGACTCTGTCTCGGGTCATGATTTCCCAGTTCATGAGTTCACGCCCCCCATCAGGCTCTCTGCTAATGGTGCAGAGGCTGCTTGGGATTCTCGCTCTCTCACTCTCTGTGCCCCTATCCTGCTCACATGCACGCTCTCTCACAAAATAAATAGATGAAATAAAATTAAATAAAATGCAACCGTTTCATATATTCACCTAAAACTTACTCCTTCTCCACAACCGGACACTTGTGAACTCAAGATCTAACCACCTCGCACGGGGGCCGGAGGCTCTCACCCAAGTGCTACATCTACGCCTCCCCGAAATAATACATGTACATCTACCCCCCCCCCAACCTCTGTCCCACTGCGTAGAGTGCAAAGCTTCTGTTCCATCTGTTTTTCCTGTGTATAAATGTCCACATGAAATAGTGAACAAAATACTTGGTGACCTGCACACCCTATCAAATGTTTAAGTATCGTCACCATTATTTCCTGTTTGCGCACCTGTCCTCACCCACTTCTCCCTGGAAGTGCCCTCTCAGACTTGCCTCCACCCAATCCCAAACCCGATTCTGCAACTTGTCAGGTCCACCCCTCACGACTCTGCGCACACTTCGTGTGCTCTGCCACCTTCCACCAAACAGTACCTCCTCCACAACCCCCAAACCCCACTCCAGGCTGCTAGGAATGACAGCCGGCCGGGGTGGGGAGGTCACCAAAAAAGGCAGTAACTCTGTTGGATACCTCTACACCCACCACCCTCTTCGTCGTCTTTCCACTGCACGCCCTCCTCCTCGCCTGGGTAAGTGCCCTGATGGGCAGCCAGACTCCAGTGTCTGAAAGGACCAGTGTGATGTAGCGGTTGAGAGCATGGCGCGAGAAGGGCGCCTGGGTGGCTCAGTCAGTTAAGTGTCCGACTCGATTTCAGCTCAGCTCATGGTTTTCACGATTCGGGAGTCTGAGCCCTGCGAGGGGCTCGGTGCTAGCAGTGTGGAGCCTGCTTGGGATTCTTTTTCTCTCTCCCCCTCCCCTGCTCTCTCTCCCTCTAAATAAAGAAACATTTAAAAAAAAAATTTTTTTTTTTAAAAGAGCATGGCTCTAGAGTCAGACTGCAAGATTTCAGATCTACTCACTGGGTGACCTAGGTTACTTAGTCACGTGGAACTGCCCTGTCTTCATCTGTAAACGATGCCCATGCTAGTCCCCACCTCCAAGGAAAGCAATGAGGATAAGGGAAATAATGCAAGTGCTTAGAATGGTGACCAGCACTTAGAACTCAATAAATCCCAGTGACTGCTATTTTCAGGAGTCAACGTACAATGCCAGCCACCCTAACTCAGACATTTAATGAGCACCTACTATACACAGGCACAGAGTGGGGTACAGGCCACACAGAGATTAGGAATTAGGAAAGCGTTGAGGAACTCTAGCTAGTAGGAACGCTGATGTGTGAGCCACCAGTCAGAGGGCACAATACTCCAAATATAAAGCACTAGGAGGTGGGGTTGATGCAAGCTTCCAGAGGTGGGGACTGCCTCACCTAGGTCTTTAAGGACAAAGGGGAGTTTCCCTGGCAAAGAGGAAGGAAATAAAGAAGGGAGAAAATTTTCCCTGCAAAAGAAACAATTAGCAAAGGGGGCGCCCGGGTGGCTCAGTCGGTTAAGCGTCCCACTCTTGATTTCAGCTCAGGTCATGATCTTGCAGTTCATGAGATAGAGCCCCATTTTGGGCTCTGCGATGACAACAGAGCCCACTTGGGATTCTCTCTCTCCCTCTCTAGCTGCTCCTCCCCTGCTCTCTCTTTCTCTCAAAATAAATACACGAACTTTTAAAAAGAGAAACAACAAAGGAAAGGAAATACAGGAGATCATGCTACATTTAGGCTTGGGCGTCATTTTGGTCACCTGGAATACTTTCCAGGGAAGTGTAATTTGGGGGCACGGGAGAGGGGAGCAGGAGAGCTTCATGGGTGGCACAGGAGGCTCTTGGTAGGTAGCTCAGGGTGGCCCATGAACCACCCCCCACTGGTATAATCACAACCTACCAGAGACTCACCAGGAATGTTTGCTGAAACTACAGATGTCTGAGCCCCACCTGGGGCTACAGAACCAAAATCTCTGGGGAGGGGGCCCAGACACCTGCATTTAACACATTCCCCAGGGGAGATTCCTACTTTCTCGCTACAATCACACACAGCAAGATTTGAGAATCACCACCCCAGATAAGACGCCCAGTCCCTCTGAGGCCTTGCAAGCTATGGCCTCAGCAACTTCTCAGTCCCAATATTCAAGTCTAGCTCCTTGAGAAATAATCCCTGGTGATGAGCACCCACACATGGGAATGTGAACTGATATGCGCTTTCTGAAAGGCATTGGGCAATGCGTTTGAAAAGCCTTGAAAAGTACGTACCTTTGACCCAGGCTAAATCCTTCAGGGGAAACTGTCAATGTAAATCAACGTCTAGCTTCAAGGATATACTCACTGCAGTGTTGCTTATAATTAGTGAAAAACCAGGCACAGCCTAAACACGAATCCGTACGGAACACATGGAACTGGCACCCATCTCAAAGCCTTTGCACACTCTCCCCCTGACCTGGAACATTCTTCCTCGGATAGCCACGTACGTCATACGGTGTGGCTCAAAGGTCACCCTTTCCGTGAGACCTTCCCTAGCCACCTAATTTAAAAACAACAACATCGCCCCTGCTCTATATTTCCCCATTCTAATATACAAAAGGACTAACTTATTCAGCTTGTCTGTCCCCCCTCCCCTAGAATGTCCAAGAGACAGGGACTTGTGTCCATGTTATTTACTGCTGTGTCCCCAGCACTTAACACAGAACTTGGCATACAGTCAGCCCTCAGATACAGGTCAATTGAATAAATCAACTGTTACACAAACAAAACAGTGGAACACCACACAACATTAAAACTGACATGGCTCATAATTACAGACACGGAAAGACAGCGTAAGTGCAAAGCTAAGTGAAAAAAGAAATTTCTGGCACAGCGTAGGCCACGTGAACCTTTGTCTAAAACATGCGTACATAACCCACTTTGTAATCAAGTGGTTATGGGCGAGTTCTATTTTTTACTTAACTGAAATTTCTTAGTTTTTCTTCCATTAACCTTATATTGCTTGCATAATCTTTGAGAAGTAATCCCTCATGAAATGCTCTCAAAACATTTGCTAAATTTTTTTTTTTTTTTTTTTAGAAATAAGCTTCCTCCTTAGTGACTTAATTAGGGTGTCCCTAATTAAGGCCAGCACAACATCAAAGAGGCCAGGTTCCAAGGGACCCTTGCTTCAGGTCGACTCCTGGCTGCAAGACGACCTCAGTCCCTCCAGCAGCAGTTTGCGGAGCCTCAGAGCGCTCAGATGCCAAAGGCTTGGCCACCAGCTAGCTAGTCCTGGCTCTGCTCCCCGCTACTTGCTTCCTATTGGGGTGCCTCATCCAATTATTCAGGCCCGAGATCACATCCTGCTGGAGAGCTGGCTTTGAAGGTTCAGTAAACAATCACTTCAAAACAAAGCACAACCATTAAACCAAACTCAAAGACTTCCTTAATGACTCCGTGCTCAGCTGCAGGAGCCGGGCTCAAGCAAGCCAGGCCTCAGAAGTGAAGCTGAGGTCTCCCTGGAAACTAATCTCGAAGCATTTCCAGCCTCCTACTGCAAATATCCCCCCTTCCTGTTTTGCACTCAGTCATGTGGGGTGCAGAGCCGTTACTGGGACGACCCCGATGGAGGGGGGGGTTCCTCAGTAGAACAAACGTGTGTCCTGTGGTTGTCACCTTCGACGGCTGCATCAGAGCCTTAGGTCTCACACCCTGCCTGCCCCCCACCTACTTCCGTCTACTGACAAATCAGAGGCACCCGTGGGGTGAGTCAACCACCCAACAATATCACGTTGGCTGGGTCAAACTCTGCTTTAAATAGAGAGAGGCCCCTGGAGCTCCTTGAGGCACTTCAGAGAAGAGCCTAGATTATTATGCTTCATCTGGTTCCTCGTGAGTCCTAAAGGCATAGATAGGGCAATCAACAAAGACATCAATGAAACACACCCATTACAGAATCTGAAAAGGAAATTGTCAAACATTTGAGAATGCTGTGAGAGCCCACGGTGGTAGACGAGCACAGACCCTGGGACTGCATGGGTTCAAATCCCAGCCTTACCTCACCCTAGCTGTATGAGGTGGGCAAACGGTTTAACCTCTCTGCACCTCACTTTCTCCATCTGTAAAATGGGAGTTATAGCAGTAACCACCTCACTGTGGATATACAGGAAGTACCTGGGTTGCTGGGAGGAGTAAGAGTCTATCTGTAAAGCACTAGAATAGTGCCTGGTTGTGCCACATAAAGGCTTATTATTTTTTTTTTTTAATTTTTTTTTTTTTAACGTTTTTTATTTTTGGGACAGAGAGAGACAGAGCATGAACGGGGG